AAGTTGGCAGGACTGGCCTAAGGGTTATTTTTTAGCTGGGTTTTTATAATAATTTTTAAAATAACAAAGGCCTAATAATATTTCATCTTAATTAACATTTTAACTTTAGTATTTTTTGTATTTATGTATTTGTTTTTAAAAGGCTGTAAGCCGCCCTGAGTCCGCAGGGAGAAGGGCGGGGTAAAAATATAAATAATAATAAATAAATAAATAAATAAATTCCATTCTGGGCTGCCTCGGTTCAGTTTATGGTTTAACAATTGAAAAGTAATGTTTGCAATTTTGAAATTTGCATAGTTCCAGTGTTTTATTGTCTGTTTTAAGGTTTTTAATTTGTTTAGTTTGTTTTCTTTTTAAGCATGTAATTTATTTTACTATCGTTCTATATTATACATATGTAATTATAATCATGTTAATAACAGTCATTTTTATTGTTACTATATAATTATAATTTCAAGAGATTTTAATATACACAGAGAATGTTTGAAAGATTTTGACTTAGTATAAAGCATCCAGCTTTTTTCCAATTCATGCAGCTGCTTCATAAACTACTTTTGGCTATTTTCATATGTAAGTGCATGAACAGCCATGGAAGTGAACAGATATATACAGAAGCTGTGGATAGTTTACAAAGCAGCTCTCCACTGCAAAACAACTTTGAGGAATACAACTATAATATACTTTGGAGAAGTGTAAAGCTAGAATAATACAATTTCTAGACTTGTGTTTATTTTGTTTTAAGACTCGCAAGGGCACATGATAACATCAGTTCCAATCTTTTAGGAAGGCGATGTCCTGTTCCACATATAGAAAATGGCAGAATACTACATTCAGATGACCTCCGGCTTGGTGAAGAAATAACCCTTGCTTGTGATTATGGGTAAGTTAGAGATTATTTGTTGAAGCAACTTGTAAAAATATATTTGGAGACAATGGACAAAAAATATTGATAATAGAAATCTGAATTGTTAACTATATATTATTGTGAACTTTGTATTATAATTATCTATATTCCACTAGATAATTATAATATATAGTAACTTTGTAAGATACACATCTTTCAAAATGACTTAAAACAGATTTGCAGAAATTATTTAAAGGCATCATTAATATATAAGTCAGTACAGGTAATCCCTGAGTCATGAGCGTTCACTTAACACTCGTTCGAAGTTACATGATCAGCACCCCTTAGTATTTATGAGCAAGTCCCAAAATTACAAATATCGCAGGACCACGGCAGTCGTTCGCCCTTACAAATGACTGCAGAGGCTCTGCAACATTCACCCTATTCCCCCCCCTCCCTTCCTGCCATGCCCGACTCACCTTGCAAAATCTGACTCCTCTTTGCCGCGGGTTCTTTCCTTTGAGGGAGAGGAGAAAAGCTTGCAAATGCTTTTCCTGCTGACAATGGAAGCTCCTGGGTGCCATAATATCGCGCGAGTTCAAACACCCATTCTCTGCAAAAGAGATCATGGCCTCCGGAAGTTTCTATTCTCTGGGGGGGGGGGTGTTTGCTTCGTTTGCACAACTATGGGGCAAAGCGTGGAATCGTCTGTGGCGCAGCTGAGTGGCTTGCTTGTGTGCGCCAGCCTTATTTTGAGGGCAGGAATGAAGCCTTTAACTGAGTGGGGAGGCATTGTGGGGCCAGGTCCCTGGCACCTGCATCCAAGCCAACAGCAGTGGCAACCACCTAAGTGGCCATGATCCTCCTCCCCAGCCAGCCACCCACCCTGCCCAACCTACTCCTTGCCTGGCTGGCCAGCTGGCACAAATTCTCACCGCTCTTCTCCTCCTCTTCCTTCGCACTCAAGTGCCAGTAGCAGCTTGGATTTCTCAGCTCCGTGCGCAGCAGGATTGCTCTCAAAAAATAAGACCTGGGTGTGCTGCTTGCTCGCGTGCGCCGGCCTTATTAAGAGCAATCCCGCTGCTGTGCCTCTGCTTTCCTCCACTCAGATGGAGCTGAGAAACCCAAGCCACTGCCGCCCATAAACGTTTTATCAGAAAGGAGACCTTGGGGAAACTGGATTCTCCATCTGTGAGCAAATGGGGCAGTTCAAAACAAAGCAAATCGCTTCGTTTTCAAATGCCTGATAGGCTTTCATAAACTTTTTATCAGAAGGGATTTTCCCTCTGAGCAAATGGGGTGGTTCAAAACAAAGCAAATTTGCTGCGTTTTCAAGTGTTGCATTCACACACAGAAGGAGCTCCCCATCTCCGCAAGGTCTTCGTTCAGATAAAAACTGTTTGAGTGGCAGCGGCTTGAGTTTCTCTGCTCCGTCTGAAAGGAAGAAACTGGAGGCACAGACCAGGATTGCTCTCAATAAAACCGGCAGCGCACCCATATCTTCTTGGGAGCAATCCTGCTCTGCGCCTCCAGTTTCTTCCTTTAGCGGAGCTTGAGTTGGGAGGACAACATGGAGAAGAGTGGTCAAGATTTCGGCTACTGGCTAGTCAGGCAAGGAGTAGTTGGGGTGGGCTGCGTGGCTGGCTGGGGAAGCGAGATCTTGGCCACTCAGGTGACTACCACCGCCAGCAACTTGGATGCAGGTGCAAGGTGACTCACTCCGCGATGCCTCCCCGCTTAGTTGAAGGCTTCGGTCCTGCCCTCAAACTAAGGCTAGTGCATGTAACCGAGAAATGCACCCGGGCGTTGGTTCCTACTCCCGGCCGCTCTGATTCCACGCTTTGCCCCTTAGGCAAGCAAATGAAGCAAACACTCCCCCCCCAGAATGGAAGCTTCTGGGGGCCATGATCTCTTTTGAACTCACACAATATTACAGCACCCAAGAGCTTCCATTGTCTGTGTGAAAAGCATTTCCAAGGTGACTCTCCTCTCCCTCAAAGGGAAAGAAACTACAACAGAGAGGATTTTTGCAAGGTAAGTGAGTCCAGCACGGCAGGGAGGGAGGGGGAAACATGAGGTATCTTAGTGGGTCAGGGAGGCCTTGGGGGCCTGTTCCATCACTAGGTCCTCCATGGCCTTCCCCACCCTGAGATACCTCGTGTGCACTTAACGAGCCGTGTGCGAACAGGGAGTTTTTCTGTTCGAGGTAGAAAACTACCTGTAAAATTCTGCCAATATGTCGATGTTTATTAATTACCCTAGGTCAGGGGTAGGCAACCTTGGCTCTTTTATGACTTGTGGACTTCAACTCTCAGAATTCCTGAGTCAGCATGACAGAATATACTGGAAGAAACTCTGATACTGTCTTTATCTGCCTGTTTGTCAGCATTGCAAATTGCTGTCTTGCCTTACAAATGGATATTAAGTTTAGTTCCAACTTGTAGGAAGTCCTGTTTATCTTAACCTTCATTTCTGGCTAGATTGATGTAATAAATTAGTTTAAAACTAAGAAAAGAGCAGCTACAAACCGCTGGCTCTATAAAGTGAGAGGAAAAGGGCCAAGATTTGTAGTTTGGGACTGAAATAGATAGAACAAGTTTCTACTGTGCTGATATCCTAAGTATTTCTTAATATGTGATTTCCTAAATCTCAGTAACTTTCTTGTATCTGTTTGGGAATGTGGAATGGGGAGAGGAGAGCGAGATTTAGACCGGCCAGGGTAGTGGAGGTATAAAGCTTTGATACTGGTTTGAAGATGAACACTTCTTGTATACAGCACCTATCAAGTTATCAGGATATACTTCTAAAGATTCTTACTAGGAAAATAAGTACCAGAGTATTATAATGGTTGGAGTCCTACATTTTAGTACATCATAATATAATTTGTTTAGTTTGAGTGAGCATGTTCTGTGAACTCAACCTGTTGTGGCTTATTTTAGAAATTGCAACTAAAAAAATCAATTGCTGAGACATAAGACTTTTCTTCCCTTTAGGTTCAGACTGATAAGTGATAACACTCGACGGTGTGTTTTGAAATCAGGCAAAGTTGACTGGAATACAGAGCTTCCATTTTGTGAACGTAAGATATTTTATTTTAAGCTTTTACGTTTAGCTTAATAGCAAAGGTTCACTCTGCCTAGTCTTTAGTTGAATATCCCAAAGGTGCTTTTTCAAAAGGCAACTGGACTTTCTTTCTTTTTGCTTGAAGACGTTTTGCTTCTCATCCAAAAAGCTTCTTCAGTTTTGAAACTTCACCTCACCCAAGCTTTTTGAATGAGAAATGAAACATCTTCAATTAGAAACAAAGCCAGTCCAGTTGCTTTTTGAAAAAGCACCTTTGGGATAACCATGAGCTGGATATACATATCCACTCTAGATGAGCTCAAATTCAAAGGATCAGATGGATTGTCTCAAAGGTGCTTTTTCAAAAGGCAACTGGATTGTTTTTTCCCTGAGGAAGAAGAACAAAATGTTTTGCTTCTCATCTAAGAAACTTCATCAGTTTCATCACTTCTTGGATGAGAAGTGTAATATTTTGTTCTTCCTCACGGGGAACAACAGTCCAGATGCCTTTTGAAAAAGCACCTTTGAAACAATTATGTCCTGGATGACTGAGAATTTCCACAGACATTTGACCAAATAGATTAAATTCAGGATTCTGAAGGAGCTGGCAGACAACCTGCCCCCAGAAGCGGTGAATGCTCCAACACTGGAAGTTTTTAAGAAGAGACTGGACAGCCATTTGTCTGAAATGGTATAGGGTTTCCTGCCTGAGCAGGGGTTGGACTAGATGACCTCCAAGGTCCCTTCCAATCTTTATTATTATTATTATTATTATAATCTTAGAACCACTGAACATAATCTTTCATAGCTCCTGGAGCAGAGGGGAACTTACCAGAAGACTGGAAAAGAGCTAATGTGATTCCGATTTACACAAAGGGGAAAAAATGGATACAGGAAGTAACAATATGCTGCCTTTTCCTAATTTTTACTATCTTTGTAGTAGGAGAAAATAATTGAAAAAAAATATTGCAGTGGAATCAGGAATCTTTGGAAATAACCAGTTTAACCTTGGTATGATTCATGTCCACTAAAGAAACTATTGTTCCTGCTATTAGCATTGCATTCTGCCAAAAAATAAGCATCTGCAAGCATTTAAATGCTTTCCCATTATAATTTATGAATGACTCCTTGTTGAAATCACAACCTTGCATTGAATCTGCCTCCTTAAATCTCAAACTTTTAGGTCAAGTCACATTAGCATAATGTAAACAGGCAATGGCTCTTCTGTTGTGAGCCTCACCTACCGTGCAACACTTTTCTTGATGAAGTATATACTTTTGTTGTATTCTGTGAAGAGATGGGTGACTTCCATGTTACTTCCATAGGAAGAATGTACTTTTTCTAGTTTAAACTTGCATATGGAAGATATCCTAATGAGGAAGACCACTTTGATAATAAGAACATTATGAAGAAATCCTACCCAGGATCTGGACAGCAGATATTTATTAGATAGGAATGTTGTCCTTGGCAAAGTGACTTTGATGTTCTGGTTGACAGTAGAAAGAATGTTTGCATTTACCTGATGGGATCAAGTAATTAATTCAAGCAGCTAAACATTTATACCATGAGGTAATTTAATCCAAATGATTTGCAATTCTAGCCTAGTTAAATCAGTGTTGATTTTTTTCCCCAGGTATTCCTTGTGTTCGTCCTCCTGTAATTGCCAATGGAAGATATGATCCCAATCCTTTAGATACATATGATGCTGGCTCAACAGTACTCTATCGATGTGATCCTGATTACTCCCTTATTGGAAAATCTGCTATTACATGTATAGTTGAAGAAAATGGTCTAGATGGAAAGTGGGATCTGTCTCCACCTGAATGCAAAAGTAATGGAATTTATGTTATTTTCCTTATCTTCAATCTGCCAAATTGCTTTTTTGTTAGTTCCATTAGTTATATACATTATGCTCTTGCTAAAATCTGGTAATCTTGTCTTCTAAGCATTGGGTTCTGTGGATTACTAAGTGGAAATTACCTGAGTGAAACTGGTTTGTACAAGTTAGTATTGAAAGAAATGCAAACATAGTTCAAATAATTTATTCTATTACTTGTGTTCAGATTTGGTAATAATCCCCTATAGCTGAATTGGACTTATTGTGCTCCATTAAGTTAATAAACAAAAAAAAGTTTCTTTTTCATTTCCTTCTGATTTATTTATTTTATTAAATTTATATGCTGCCCATCTCGCTATCCAAAGTGACTCTGAGTTGCTTACAATACAATAAAAATAGAAATATAAATACATATATAAATACATAAGAACATTTAAAATTACAAAAATTGAAGAATAGACTAAAAACCAAGGATTCAAGCAGAAGGGGGTGGTATCTTCTTCAACCTAAAGTGTCTCTATCATGCCCCACACCATCCATGGAGTAATACAACAAGGTAAAACATTGGATAGTATCTTAAAATCTAATGAGATTATTCCCAATTCCAAGAGAACCGTGTTTCTTAATCATAGAAATCTTAGGTGAACTCCTTCATCCTAATCTAAAATACTATATCTCACTAGCTGTCAATGTTGCATATTTATAATAATAGTTATATATTTGGGTCAGTTAATTATTAAATCAGCAGGTAATTGTTTGTGTATCCATTTAATTTTGTTTCATACAACTCCTGCAAACAAGATGCAGCCATATTAGATAGTTATTCTTTTTGGCTGAAGGTAAGCAGATAATGGTTTCCAGGCTTAAGATTCCTAGTGCCAGCAGCAAACCATAATTACATCACATGGTGATGCCACTACATGCATACATGTCACCATTATATACTTGTTTCCCATTCTGTGACTGAAATATATAACTCACAGCATTTGACTACCAATAACATGCATACTTTCTCATTTGCTTCTCACAAAGCCAGTTGGTCATTCAGTGCAAACTAAACACTGATTTCTTTTCCAGAGGTCGAGTGTCACAGACCAAGAGTCGAAAATGGGAGAGTGGCAAGTGTGTTTCAAGCTACGTATACGTATGAGAATAAAATAGAGATTGAATGCAATCCTGGCCACACTTTGGTAGGGTCTTCTACAATTGAATGTGGTGCTGATAGTCAGTGGAAATCTGTTCCAACATGTCTTATGCGTAAGTATTTTTTCTTAAATCTTTGTTGAAAACTTTAAAGTTGAGCATCCTGGATCTAGAGAAAACTACATAAACATTTTCCCCTCTCTTTTTGTGTAGTCTCTACCACTTCCAAACCAACCAAATCCCCTACACCTACTGTTCCTCCTACTCCCCAAATTCCCCCTAAGCCTGACACTGTTTCTCCAAGAGAAGATGGCACTGAAGGTGAGTCATCACGTAATTGGAGTGCTAATCACAGCCCTTTTTCAGGATTCAGATGGTTTGGTCTTGGAGGAAAGACCCTGTGGCCACATCTGTGTTTTCTAACACAGAATAAAATACAGATTGAATGCAATCCTGGCCACACTTTGGTAGGGTCTTCTGTAATTGAATGTGGTCTGATAGTCAGTGGAAATCTGTTCCAACATGTGTTAAGCGTAAGTAATTTTTCTTAAATCTTTGTTGAACATCAGTGTTGAAAACTTTAAAGTTGAGCATCCTGGATCTGGAGAAAACTACATAAACATTTCCCCTCTCTTTTTGTGTAGTCTCTACCACTTCCAAACCAACCAAATCCCCTACACCTACTGTTCCTCCTACTCCCCAAATTCCCCCTAGGCCTGGCACTGTTTCTCCAAGAGAAGATGGCACTGAAGGTGAGTCATCACGTAATTGGAGTGCTAATTACAGCCCTTTTTCAGGATTCAGATGATTTGGTCTTGGAGGAAAGACCCTGTGGCCACATCTCTGTTTTCTAACTGCTTTCCATCCTTTTCTTGTGCAGATAATCTACAGAGTGGCTTACAACCATGGGGTTGTGCGTACTTGAGGAATATGTTTCATTTCATTTAACAATGTATCATGTGGTATTTCGTTGCCTTTTGAAAGAAGTATGACATGAGCTGAAATCTTAAGAAACTGAGATGTAAATCTCCCTTTTGCCCATGGAACAAATATGGACCGTAGAGCACTGAGTGTAAACAAATTATCTTGCAGTGTTACTGAATCCACTTTACTATCACCATGGTTGTAGCTGAATTGCACAATTTATGAAAGAGATGTTAGTGGTTTAGATCTTTAAGGCCCTCTTAAAGAGCAGCAGAGTCACGTTAGGGTGTGGTTTCAAAGGGCAGGCATCACAATATACTTCCTAGATTCTTCAGACATTATTTTATTGATGGACCAGAACAGAAACTCGTGGAGAAAGGTGGTTCTGCAAATCTTAAGTCCCTGCATAAAGTAGGAAATCTTCTAGAGTTTATAGATTCTTTGGCAAGAATTCTCTTCTTCATATAGTTTATGGAAGACTAGATAAAGCCCTCACTGGTCTGTCAAAACCAGACTAATATTGTGTCTATTTTCTGAGGTAGTCATTGATCTGGAATCTTTTATATTTTATCCATTTTTATATTTCATCATTTTTATTATATATATTTTTATTTTTTATTGATTTCTGTTTGTTATGCATGAACGAATTTAGGATAACTGCTCTTCTCTGAGCCTTTTAGTCATGACCTAAAAACCTTGAAGGAGCTGTTTTGCAAGTGCCATTGTTGCAGAAGCAAATCTTCCCCTTAGACGGAAGGTACTTTCTGTTTGCTGGGGCAACATACTGTAAATTCTTGAAAATGTTGCAAAGTGATTATTAAACACGTTTTTTGCAATCACTCATCCATTTGTGAACCACACAAGAGTAAGCTCTTGCAGCTGCAAATTCCAATTCCTTCATCTTCAGCTATTTTCAAAGCTTCTGCCATGCCTCAGAGATTTCCTGGGAACCTTCATGCATCTCTTCTCAAGTGTGTATGAATACTGGTCATCTGCTGGAGCCTTCAGGATTCGCCTACATAGGCATTAACATTATGGACCTCATAAAGTAAAAGGCTAAAGGCTCCTAAAAGATTTGCTTCACTCAGTCCTGATCCGAGGGGAAGAAGTATAGTAATATTAGTTGAGAATCCTGCCCACACACAGTCCACTAATTTAGACCCTGTATTTATAGGTTTGATCATGCTAGTTTTCTCTGATCTCCATTGCTGGGCTTGCTCTTCTGAAATCTTTGGGTACTCCACTGAGTTGAGACTATTTACGACAGTGATACGTTGAGAGACATTGATGTAAGTCATTGCTTTCCAAATAATTTATGCTCCAAAGTAGGATAATTAGGATGATCCCCTTATCAAAATGTATCCAAAGCCAATCACCTTGCAGAGTATTTTGACTCTAGTGATCATAATTTCCCAGTTAGCTGCAGTTTCATATCTTCACATTAGCTTTTGCTTTTTTCCTAAGACTGATTAAATTTTGTCACATCTAGTCAGCTGATGTATAATTCCTAATGCAGCTCAAGATGCTATGATGCCTATTGAATGTGCTGCCCCTCTATCCTATTCTCTTCCTGTTTTCTTTCATTTAAAAGCCCTGAGTCTCCAATTTAAAATTGTCTTCAGGAATGATCCGTAAGTGGCAGCTCCTAAAATGGATGTTCCTTCTGTTCAGGATCCTCCTTCAAAGCAACTCATGTCTGGTTCAAATCTTGCATGATTGCTTATTCAAATATCACTGCCCTCTTAATCATCAGGGAGCTGTTCTGTATTTTTGAACATTCTCAAATCACAAATAATTCTTTAACTGCTTTATGTCCTGTTATTCACCATTTTGTAAAGTTCTGTTTTCTCTATTAGAAGGTGATAATTATGTCCCCAGTGTAACCTTTTTTGTTGGTTTCTAGTTTTGTTGTTGCTTAATACTCATTTTAGGAATTAGATACTGAGTTTGTTGTCAGCTTTATGGTTATAGGCAAATTTGCCAAATGGCATTTGTCTTTCAGCCTGAAAAATCAACAGTCTTTACAGATATAGATAGCCCTTATAAGATACTACATCTCCAGTCCTTATCCATATGCTTACCAAGAAGCATAGATATGCATGAAACATTCAAATACCAGACAATGGAAGAAGAAAAAAGGTTATTGGAAGAATATCTGAAGAATAGTGAAAAAAAATGCACCGAGGCTAGTATACCACGAAGACTTACTTATGTACTGGAGAGACCAAATTGGCTTAGAAAAAAGACCAAATGAAGAATAACAAGGATACATGGCAAAGCAAAGTATTACATGGCTAATACATTAAAAGAAATAGGCAAAGCAGTTAATAAACAAGACTTGGCAAAGACCACAGCTGGGAGAGCCAGAATCACTGTTGTTGAGCAAGACGGTCTCATGGGGTGCCTTGTGTAATGACTGCTACAATCTTCTACTCAACTCTAGGCTTAATTATGGTGATAAGTCAAGGTGTATCTGTAGGTGGACAGAAATGCCAAAACCAGTCAAAACATCTGTCTGACTGAACAACTGCCATAGAGATCTTACTGCAAAGCAACATTTTGCCCTAGATATATTGCCTGCCTTTTCTTCAATCAGTTGACATTTAAAGTAGAGTTGGTCCATTTTCTCAGTGGCTCAAAAGCACTATCCTTCTGTTAGCTTGGGCGTTGTTTATTTCTGGTCTAATAAAGTTATTTGGATCTTCCTAATTTTCATTAAGCAGCATAGTCATTATTATCTAAATGTATTATCAACAGCTGACAAGTAGCAGTGCCTCCTGGGATCTGCAGTCTCTCTAAGGAAGCTATGGCAACATTTGCAGGTTTATGAGATTTATCTACCAAAACTCTGCAAGTAGCTACAAGAATCCAGAATTTCTACTTTCGTACAACACAATTGATTGAACCTCTTTACTGAACCCTAACCGTTTTGTTATCCCCAAAGAGCATCTGGAGTCTATGCAAACAAAATAATTTTCTGGGAGGAAAATGTGTCTTAAACCTCTTAAGAAAAAAAAAAGTTATTGTGGTTCTCTGCAATTTCACATCTCTGAAATTATGATATATCTCAATCTGGAGTCCTCCATGGCAAAACATTTTTGACTCCTGAAATTTACTCTAAAATTATGCCAAATGTGAGCTAAACATCCTTAGTACTTCATGATCACGTGAAGTATTAATACCACTTTACAATGCCTTGGTAAGGCCACACTTGGAATACTGCATCCAGTTTTGGTCACCACGATGTAAAAAAGATGCTGAGACTCTAGAAAGAGTACAGAGAAGAGCAACAAAGATGATTAGGGGACTGGAGGCTAAAACATATAAGGAACGGTTGCTGGGATTGAGTATGTCTAGTTTAATGAAGAGAAGCATGAGGGGGGACATGATAGAATGTGTTCCAATATCTCAGGGGCTGCCACAAAGAAGAGGGAATCAAGCTATTCTCCAAAGCGCCTGAAGACAGGACAAGAAGCAACGGATGAAAACTAATCAAGGAGACACACAACCTAGAACTAAGGAGAAACTTCTTGACAGTTAGAACAATTAACCAGTGGAACAACCTGCCTCCAGAAGCGGTGAATGCTCCAACACTGGAAGCTTTTAAGAAGAGACTGGACAGCCATTTGTCTGAAATGGTATAGGGCAGGGGTGTCAAACTGCCGGCCCATGGGCCAGACGCGTCACATGGAACCCGCGCCCATCCCATTCCGGCAATGGCAAAACTGGCCCGATGTGCGACGTCGCGAGTTTGAAATGTCTGGTATAGGGTTTCCTGCCTGAGCAGGAGGTTGGACTAGATGACCTCCAAGGTCCCTTCCAACTTTTTTATTATTATTGTTATTAATTATAATAATAATAATACCACCAATCTTTGCTGTCTTAACTCAGGGGGAGGTAGCTGGCATTCCTGGTTTCATTTTTACTGGAAATGTTTTATCATTGCTAGGGATTTTTGGACTTCCTTCAAGTCTAGAGTTTACCAAAAGGCCTAATTTAGAGAATGTATTTCTGCTCTTGCTTTTCTTTGATATTCTATACATTCTCAGCTTTTTCTTCCCTTTAACCTTCCTTCTGCCTTTTTGGTTCCTTTGAGGCTTTAAAGGAGGAAATTCGATTAGGCACCTTCTGTCGACAGCCATCACAAAGCCTGACTCAGTACAATTATTCTTACATTTTCCTGTTAACTTCTGCTTTAATTGTTTATGCTTCATATACATTTTAATCTTTTTTTTATTTAAACAGACAATGCATTGTGTCAGTAGGTGAATTTATTTAATAATTATAACAACAAAATGATTTTGGAAAACTGCAAGAGAAAAACGATCAATCTAAATGTAACATGGATTGATATAAAAAGGCATTCAACTCTCTACCACATGACTGGATAATCAAGTGCCTAGAGGAGTCAGTAGAAATATCAGAAACTTTGTGCAAAGATCAATGGCACAATGGAAGACATAGTTGCAGATCAATGGTGAGAGATTGGGAGAGGTTAATATCAAGAGCGGAATATTTCAAGCAGCTTCACTATCACCACTAATATATGTCTTTGCACTGTTTCCTCTATCAACAATACTGAATAACTTAGGCCATGATTATCAAACGTCAAAAACATCTGCCAAACTATCCCACCTCTTTTACATGGATGATCTGAAGCTGTATGGAAAAACACCATCTGAAATAGAATTGCTGCTCAGTACTGTCTGTATATACAGGCAAGATATTGCAATGGAGTTTGGACTGAACAAATATGCCACACTCACCATCAAAAAAGAGAAAAATAGTGAAAACTGAAAGAATCAATATGTCCTATGAAAATAACATCAAGAATCTGGATGAAGATGATTCCTACTTGGGTATCCTTCAAGCTGACAACATCAAGCACACTGAAGTCAAGAAAAAAATTAGGAGTGAAAATATCAAGAGAGTGAAGAAGATCTTAAAGTCCAAACTCAGTGGAGGAAATACCAGCAAGACAATCAACACATGAGCAATTCTGATCATTAGGTACACAGCTAGAATAGTGAACTTGTACTCAAGCTGAACTAAAAGCAATGGATGGAAAGACCAGGAAAATAATGACAATGAATTCATTTTTCATTTTCGTAGCAACATTCACAGACTCTATCTACCAAGGCAGTGTTGGGCGTGGAATGTTGCAAGTATATGAGATGGCTGAAAAAATAAAAAGGGATTTGAAGGACAATGAAGAAGATGCACTACCAGAAAAGCTTCCTGACTACTGGAGAGACCAAACTGACTTACAAGAAAGACCTGATGAACAGAATGGAGGCATAGGAAGACAAAGCACTACATAGCCAGTACATTAAAAAAAATAGCTGGGAAAGCAGATAATAACAAGACCTGGCAATGGCTAAGAGCAGGAAAGTTGAAGAAAGAGACCGAGGGATTAATTCCGGCTGCACAAGACCAAGCCTTAAGAACAAATGCATACAAAGACAGCAATAGACAGTAAGTGCTGCCTATGCAAAGAAGCTGAAGAAACAGTGGGTCACTTGGAAATCTGCTGCAAGAAAATCACACAGACTGTAACAGCGTGACAAAGTAGCAACAATGGTACACTGAAAATCTGCAAGAAATATAATTTGCCTGCAAGCAAGAACTGATGGGATCATAAAATAGAAAAGCCCTTAGAAAAACGAAGAAGCTAAATTGCTCTGGGACTATAGAATTCAAACAGAGAGGCATCTGCCATATAGCACCTCAAACTTAACAATTGTTGATAAGAAAGACAATAATGTTTGGATAGTGGATGTGGTAGTACCTGGAGACAGCAGAATAAAAGAGAAAGAACTGGAGAAGATAACAAAATACAAAAACCTACAAATAGAAATAGAACAACTGTGGCAAAAGCAAGCAAAGGTAGTACCAATAATAGGAGCCTTGGGTGCAGTCCTAAAACAACTGGAGCACCACTTGAACACCATCAACATTGACAAATTTGCCATCAGTCAATTGCAAAAGGCAGCTTTACTTGGAACCTCCGTAACACCATCAAACATCTAGATCTGCCTATCCCAAGGCCTTGGAAAGGACTCAGTAGGTAGACAAAAATGCCGAACCCAGTCTAAACATCTGGCTGACTGTGCGACAAACAACAACAGCAATTATTATTATTATTATTATTATTATTATTATTATTATTATTATTATTATTATTATTATTATCTGCAAGGTATAATATATATTGTATATATTGTGTAATATATACATTGAGGCATCTTTATTCCCAGACAAGTCTTTCAGCTTGTTAAATGTTACGCATGGTATTGCCTAAAAGATTCAGAGTAGTGTTTTAAACCTCTTTTTTTTTCTTATAGAAACTACAGCATCTCCAACTGCAACAACTCCCACACATGAATCAGGTAAAACCCCAAAGTGTTGACGATGGAAAGTAATTATTTAGACTAGTTTTTGCATTTTTATAAGAGGTCACTTTTGTTTTTTTGTTCTGAAATAGTTTTCTCTGAATTCTCTGAAATATGAGAGATATGAGAGGGAGGGAATATTAATGATTCAGGAATCCTTTTTTTAAATCTTTCTGATCAATTTCATAGAAATGTACTGTATTTCAAAATTTCTTATAACTTGCACTCCTATATTTCAAAATACATGTGCAATACATGTACTTAAAAGTCCTGAAATATTTTTGGAATCACTGTTAAAGATAATAAATTAACAAATTAAATAATTGTTCCCTTCAAATTAATATGAATAATTTAAGTTCAATAATTCAAATTTAGACCCCTTCATTTAGAATTTCAACATCTTTCCCTTTTTTAGTTTTGCATATCTATATCTATCTATCTATCTATCTATCTATCTATCTATCTATCTATCTATCTATGCAAAACAAAAAAAGTGGGAAAGATGTTGAAATTCTAAATGAGGGTTGAATCTATTGAATCTATTAGAACAGTATTGATGAGTGAAAGTACAGACAATAGAAGGATATGGCAAGTAGTGAATTATATTGGCACAATTAGCTTTAATTGTTTTACTATCTCATATTTCATCTTTTTTATTTATTTTGCTTTATATATTTTTTTACTTTTTACGTGCTTTGAATAATTTTGTTTACCCAAAAAGGGAATAACATGATGGATATATTGTACATGTCTGTTAAAATAGTGTGAAACTAGAGAAATTTTTTCTTTCACTTTTACTATATATGTTCAGGTTTTTAATCACTTTTCTTCTTTGGATTCTCTTCTGTTTTAGGTTCTAACAACACTGTCGGTATTGTTTTTGGTACGTACTTACAGACTGAACTATTGTGGTTGCATTTAATGTTTGACAGAAATGAACACAGACTATTCGATATACAATTCCTCCCTTTTTGTCTTTAGAAGGGGCTGTGACTCCCACCCCTTCTTATAAGGCAAGATCTTTTTCTCCCCTCCCAATTATTCCCATGCTTTAGAAACTCTTTTGGCTATTTTTAAAGATTTTGTTTCCTGTGTTTGTTTGTTAGTTAAACTCAAGGGAGAGTATTTCAACTTGAGAAATTATTTTAGTTACACAGTGGTGTTTTTTTTTTCCTCTTTATGTCAGGGTCAATTTACAGTTGGAATCTCTTAAAGGCAGAAAAAATCTGTTTGTTCCAGAAATCAGTCAATTCCAAGAGGAATACTGTATTTGTCATCCCCCAACCTCCCCCAAAAAGGGAACAGGTCCAGTTCCATATTAAGCTTATTATTCAAGGTATCTGTTTTCCAACTGAATAATCTACCACCTCAATTCTCATGGACCACAGGGAGTTTGCAAATATTAAAATAGCAAAAAATACACATTTTTAAAATTCCACAAAAATATAGCTAATATTAGCATTGTGCCCTATACATATATTCTCATTCATTCTCTCTCTCTCTCTCTCTCTCTCTCTCTCTCTCTCTCTCTCTCTCTCTCTCACACACACACACACACACACACACACACACACACCTATATAATACCCAAAGTCCTTCTGGAAAAATCAATTTTTACTATTTTTAAAGTCTATTGGGTTGCAAGGCATTTTTGATTGGGGATAGGCTGTCCCTCGGTGAACTGCCACTGAAAATACCTCTTATTGACACACCTTCCACTTCAATTCCGGTTTGGTAGGGACCGTCCATAGATACTATTTCCATATCCAAGAGGGATGGGCAGGAACAATTTGGGGAAAGTGCAATGGGCAGGAGCAATATAAGGAAAGTAATTTGTTAGATAACCAGCCCTTCGTCATAAAGGGTCTCAAAGAAATCAAAACCTTGAATTTGGTTTTGGGAAACACATTGGTAAACAGCACAGAATTGTTGTAATCAGGAGAGACAACAATTGTAATTGTCATCAGGGCATCCTGTTCTAGGTAAGATTGCAACTGGAAACCAGCCAAAGCTGGGCAAAATGCCTCCTACCCATAACTTCTATCTGCTCCTTAAGCAGGAGCTTTGAGTCCAGAAGTTTTAAAGTTGCAAATCTGTTCTCTCTGCAGTACCATAACTTCATCAAGAGTCAAAGACACTTGGAATCATAAGGCTTTTACATTAATAGTAGCACCATCCTGTTTGGCTTAAATTGCAACCCGTTTCTCCCCATCCAATCCCTGATAGCCACCAGGCCCTGGGACAGGACTTCTGCCACATCTCTAATTGGGCCTGGACGGAGATGTACAATTGGATATCATCAACATATTGAGGATACATCATCCTACCTTGGCAAATTAATTTGCCCAATAGGGGTTATGTAAATTGTTTAATAGATCAGGTAGATATGGGACTACTGTAACAAAATGTCCCCAACTTGCAACCCTTGTGAGAGTCTTAGCAAGCCATTGAGAGATCTACAAGGGCAAGGTGCTTTGTACACTCTCCCAGCACAGGTAAACCATGAGAGTAACCAATGCAATTTTTGTTCCCATATCTAAAACTGAAGCTAGTATTACCATACAGTCCTTCTCCCCTCTGTTAAATTATCCAGCCCACCAAACACTGTCTACTCAGCCAGTTGGGATCAGAGGGAGCTAGGCCCCTCCCTCTCTGTTGTCTCATTCCAGAGAGAGGGGGCCTGATTCTCAATAATCCAACAAATGCTTATCTTTATTTTGGACTTTTTCCCAGTTGTCAGGTGAGAGTTCTCATCAATATTAACAGTAATCACTTACTATTTATGCTGATGGGCTAGCTTAAACTTTTCCTGGTTTTATTATAAATGTAGAATATACCTTATTATTGAATTAAATTGGATACCAGGAAAGTGAGCAAATATTAATGCTACATTTATTTATGTGTCTCTGGTTTTGTTTTACTCTTGTGCAGGATGACTAGTTGCCACTCATAGGTGTAATTTATTTTTTTGCCATTTATCAATACCTTTGTTGTATTTGACATTTCTTTCCATGAAGATTCTATTGAATCTTGAACATCAGATTCTGTTTAGAACATGTATAAGCAGCTTTGTATAATTCACTAAAACAGCCAAGTCTGATTCCAGGAATGCTCAGCAGAATCTGAAGCTTCCTTTTGGCAGTCAAATGATCCCAGATAAAAAATGTAGAACTTTAATTACCGTATTTTTCGCACCATAAGACGCACCTGACCATAAGACGCACATCGTTTTTAGAGGACAAAACAAAAGAAAAAAAAAATTCTAACCGGCGGTGGCGCGGTCAGGTAGGNTTCCAACTGAATAATCTACCACCTCAATTCTCATGGACCACAGGGAGTTTGCAAATATTAAAATAGCAAAAAATACACATTTTTAAAATTCCACAAAAATATAGCTAATATTAGCATTGTGCCCTATACATATATTCTCATTCATTCTCTCTCTCTCTCTCTCTCTCTCTCTCTCTCTCTCTCTCTCTCTCTCTCTCTCTCTCTCTCTCTCTCTCTCTCTCTCTCTCTCTCACTCACTCACACACACACACACACACACACACACACACACACACACCTATATAATACCCAAAGTCCTTCTGGAAAAATCAATTTTTACTATTTTTAAAGTCTATTGAGTTGCAAGGCATTTTTGATTGGGGATAGGCTGTCCCTCGGTGAACTGCCACTGAAAATACCTCTTATTGATACACCTTCCACTTCAATTCCAGTTTGGTAGGGACCGTCCATAGATACTATTTCCATATCCGAGAGGGATGGGCAGGAACAATTTGGGGAAAGTGCAATGGGCAGGAGCAATATAAGGAAAGTAATTTGTTAGATAACCAGCCCTTCGCCATAAAGGGTCTCAAAGAAATCAAAACCTTGAATTTGGTTTTGGGAAACACATTGGTAAACAGCACAGAATTGTTGTAATCAGGAGAGACAACAATTGTAATTGTCCTCAGGGCATCCTGTTCTAGGTAAGATTGCAACTGGAAACCAGCCAAAGCTGGGCAAAATGCCTCCTACCCATAACTTCTATCTGCTCCTTAAGCAGGAGCTTTGAGTCCAGACGTTTTAAAGTTGCAAATCTGTTCTCTCTGCAGTACCATAACTTCATCAAGAGTCAAAGACACTTGGAATCATAAGGCTTTTACATTAATAGTAGCACCATCCTGTTTGGCTTAAATTGCAACCCGTTTCTCCCCATCCAATCCCTGATAGCCACCAGGCCCTGGGACAGGACTTCTACCACATCTCTAATTGGGCCTGGACGGAGATGTACAATTGGATATCATCAACATATTGAGGATACATCATCCTATCTTGGCAAATTAATTTGCCCAATAGGGATTATGTAAATTGTTTAATACATCAGGTAGATAGGGACTACTGTAACAAAATGTCCCCAACTTGCAACCCTTGTGAGAGTCTTAGCAAGCCATTGAGAGATCTACAAGGGCAAGGTGCACAGGTAAACCATGAGAGTAACCAATGCAATTTTTGTTCCCATATCTAAAACTGAAGCTAGTATTACCATACAGTCCCTCTCCCCTCTGTTAAATTATCCAGCCCACCAATCACTGTCTACTCAGCCAGTTGGGATCAGAGGGAGCTAGGCCCCTCCCTCTCTGTTGTCTCATTCCAGAGAGAGGGGGCCTGATTCTCAATAATCCAACAAATGCTTAGCTTTATTTTGGACTTTTTCCCAGTTGTAAGGTGAGAGCTCTCATCAATATTAACAGTAATCACTTACTATTTATGGTGATGGGCTAGCTTAAACCTTTCCTGGTTTTATTATAAATGTAGAATATACTGTATTATTGAATTAAATTGGATACCAGGAAAGTGAGCAAATATTAATGCTACATTTATTTATGTGTCTCTGGTTTTGTTTTACTCTTGTGCAGAATGACTAGTTGCCACTCATAGGTGTAATTTATTTTTTTGCCATTTATCAATACCTTTGTTGTATTTGACATTTCTTTCCATGAAGATTCTATTGAATCTTGAACGTCAGATTCTGTTTAGAACATGTATAAGCAGCTTTGTATAATTCACTAAAACAGCCAAGTCTGATTCCAGGAATGCTCAGCAGAATCTGAAGCTTCCTTTCGGCAGTCAAATGATCCCAGATAAAAAATGTAGAACTTTAATTACTCTCACATGGATGCTGCAAATGTGTTTCTGTGCATTCTGAAGCATCTTTTTAAAGCAATTCAGATTCCTATTTTTTTCTGCAATCAAATGCTTTTGCATATATAAAGGAGTATACCAAATGCCAGTCCACATAATAGGCCAATCAGAATATGTTTTATTTATTTATTTTCAGAGAAAATGTTACTAAGTGCACTAAGGTAATGCAGCAAATAAGGAAATGTTGAGAAAAAAAGGCAACTAATTCAAACACATAATGTAATTTCTATAGATAATTGTCTACAATCCTGACTTTTGGTATCCCCTGTATATACAGTTTGATATGGGCAAAGTGATCTGAAACATACCTTGAAAGTACTGTCAGGAGTTTGTATATGATGATTGGTATATTTTTGAATATGAAACTATCACATTATCTTTTTCCCTTCAAGGAGCTGTCATTGCCGTTATAGTTCTGGCTGCATTAATTTTTGCAGCTGTGAAATGGTTCTCTCTCCAGGGGTGAGTCAGCCCAAGATATGCTGTCTCTGATTCTTTCTAGCTTCTTCATAGCTGCATGAGCAGCCATCTCTAACTTTCCAGTGCCGTCCCTAAAACCTACAGTTTTCATATAAATGTGCTTTATGTCCAGAAGTAACTTCTGTGCTGTGTGCTTGAACAACTGCAAAGATCTGCAGCAAAGGAGGAAGACGAACAAAACATTATAGTTTGTCTAGAATGGCTAATCTGAATTTAATCACATCTCCAGCATTGGTGTTCTGGAGTGACAGAAATCATCTGTCTCTTTCTGTTTGCTATTTGTTCAACTGCAGGCTTGGCAATGTGTTGTTGAAAAAAGTAAGATTATTCTTATTGCCCTGATCTGCTGATATCAGAGACACTTGTAGTGATTTCTGTCTCTGACTTACTGGTACCCTAATGAAATGGAATCATTGGAATGGTTCTATGCAAAGTTTGCATGTCCTTTGAGAACAGCTTTTAATCTACTTGCAACTTTGGTATCTTTCTAGACAGATTACAATGGAAATCTTGTCTTGTATGTTGCTTGCTTTCTGTCTCTGTGCAGGAGTATTGTTTTTTATACAGCATTATATTAACTTTATTTTTATATCATTCGTATACAGTTACAGGATGTTATAAGCACTAATTTAGATTTGTTCATAAATTGATTTTCAAATCAGTTTCTTAACCATAGGTACTTAGAGTGGTAATGCTTTAATTACTATCATTACATGTACTCATCTTTATTTTTAAAGAGTATATAGATGTAATCTTTTGATAGAATAATTAATACATATTTTTGAGAGTCTTAGTCTTATAGACTAACACGTGCAATCTGGGGGAAGCTGTAATAATGATGTTTTGCAAAAAAAATTACTGTGGACTTTACCTTTTTTCTAGCATTTTTGAAAGACTGTCTCCAGTTTTAAAACTTAAGATTAGTAAATCCTGGATCTCCTTCTTGAATCTGTTCATTTTTCTAATTTCTAATTGAATATTATCTGTCTCTCCTTATATATCTTTTAGGCCACAACATGCTAATTATGTCTTTATTTTGCTAAAAGACTTCTTTAAATAAACAATTTTCTGTTTTCAGGTTTTCTATTAGCATCATCTAATTTGCTTGCAGAAATCAGTTATATAGGGGTCTTCATACAGGAAGATGGGTGAACAATTACTGATTTAAGCATGCGCCCAGGAGAAGTGGGAATGCCTGTTTCCTCCATTGATTTGATTTTGCTTTATTTGCTGCCTTCTTCCCTTTTATATAAAATTAACTCATTTAAATTGTACAGTTTGATTCCTGATCAAATACTTTGAATAACTTGAAGCCAAAAAATCCTTTGGGATAATGTATATTTTAAAACAGCTCTTATTCCAGAGACCCGCTTTTTCTCTCCCTCCCTTCCCCCACTTGATCACCTCAGACTTCATTTAGGAATTATCCCTCTTGTTCTAATTAATTGTAACAATAAAAGTGCTGAGACATTGTTTATTTTTAGTTTTACAGTTGTTTTAGCTTCAGGATAACATCAAAGAACCATTCTTCAATCTAATTAATATCATCCACTGAAGGCTGGAAACGTATATAACTTATTTATTGCTATTTATTTATAGCATTGATTTTATATTGCTAAATATACTTCTGGATGCAGAGGGACTCCCCATCCCTAGCCCCTGTATTTTACTCCACTTTACTCCATTTACAGTAGGGTTTAACAGTGGCTTCTCGAGTGGTCGCACCAGCGTTTTCAGAGTTGGATTGTTCTAACTAAGATGCATTTTCTTTTATCTTACAGATTGAAATGTGTAAATCTGTGTGTTGCTTTTTGCTAGGACTAAAGAAAATATTTTTTGAAAACATCTTTAAATAGCATATATAAATATCAATTTATTTTTATGTCATCTTTTACAGGAAAGCTAACGTTCCTCATGCTCCTACTGATTCTTATCATGTAGTTTCAGAGAAAGATATGACTTTGGAAGAAAAACGAACAAAAGATTGATTTGAGTTTACTGAACTTCTGCAATAAAACTTTAATAACCTTTCAACAGTTTCCCATTTGAGAACTGAAAAAGAGGAACTCAGTGAAGATTTGAGTTCATAGTTTTACAGTTTGACCATTGGAAGAGACAGTTAATACATGAAGCGATCAGCATTTGATCTACAAGACTACTCCTTTTTCATATTCTGCTTCTACATTCTAGTAGATTGCACTTAAATCCTTTCAGAATATCTCTTAGCATGTCTGGTTCTTAGCACTCGGATACAGAATCTGAGGGACCTCCATATCTCTACTTCAGGGATGATGCATTATCAAGAGATAACTATTCTAGAATGAAAGAGTCAGCAAGTCCTGTGTAGTTCTTTTAACAGCCTGGTTCTTAAATCAGCTTCTAAGTTCATGTGGCATCCAAAGAAAAGTTAACTTGCTTTCTGGGTTTTAAATTTATGCTGAAACAATAAGCTTTGCCTAATATAAATTGTGTTCTGTTTTATATTTTAACAGTCAACATAAATTTTACAACCAATAAATTGAGATACATGTCCTAGTGGGGAAGATTCAGTTTTTGTCTTTACAGTCACTGTAATGAGAAAGTGTGTTTTGGCTGAATGGAGCCGATCCTGAAATATTCAACATAGTTGTTGAGGAGGAGAGTGGCAAAATGTCTGTTACGATGCTCTGTGTCACATCACAACATACATTCTGTCATTTTGACACTATTTTGGTCAGCCATGGATGCCTGTGGTATTCAAGAAAGTATTTTGTATGTTTGCAAAAGTTGTATTTATAAATTTTATTGTATTCCTTCTTATATGGGAAAAATGAATTAAATGCAATGGCTGTATATAGAGAAATGTCTGGCAATGGTAATATTAAAGATTGAATTGCACGAGCACTTATCGTTGTTCTATTTAAAGTCATTTGGGGAGTTTATGCTATGGTAATTCTTAACACTGTAGAAACTATTTACTGGTTATACTTTCATGTATGCACCATTATTGAAAGGCAATTGGGAGATGACCCTATTACCAGAGAGAGCCAGATTGGTATAGCAATTAAGATGCTGGCCTAGAAACCAGGAGACTGAGTTCCAGGCTTCCCTTAGTCATGAAAGCCAGCTGGGTGTCTTTGAACCAGTCCCCAGTTAGATATGTTTGCCAGTTAGATATGTTCCCCAGTTAGATATGTTCCCCAGTTAGATATGTAAACAAGAGTTTACAAAATGCCATCCAACATGCACCCTAACATCTCATTTACAAAGGAAATAAAGCAAAACCCATATTTAGAATTTATAATGGAAAACAAGCGTCCACAAAATTTTTTGTTTCTTACTCTTTTCTTTGGAGAGGAAGGAAGGTAGCCCATCCTTTACCTCAAAAAGCAGCACTTTAGCACAGGTGAAAAGCATTTGAACTTATTTTGAGAAATTGACTTAACAAACTTTTTATCAGTGAGAATAGAAGATTCCTCGTTTAGTTCCAAGATTCTGTATCTATACTATGTTAGCACTAAAAATATCTTACTGAAATATATTTTTTAAAAAATAAATTACTAATCACATAGCAGGGAACATACTTCAAGAATGCAAATATATCCAGTAACTAATAAACTTATGGAACTACACACATAATCATACAGTGTTCTCAATGTTAAATAATATTAATGTTACTGTTAAGAGTAGTAGAGTAGTCTGCCTGAGTTGGGATGCAGGTAAAAGTAAAGAAATACGTTTTCTAAGAGATGTGTCATAGTTCCAAACTGTAGTTCTTGGAACTGCATAAGCACTTAAACGTTTTACTGGTCAGTTTAGCAACTTAATTGTTTCCGTAATTCTGAGCATAGAATATGGATTTTTTTGCCTGATGGATTCTTATTTAATGTGTTATACAGATCCTATGTTTAGAATTTATAATGCAAAACAAGATTCCAAAAGAGCTTTTGTGGCAGTTATTAAATGTAGCATTTACCAGAAAGTCCTTCCTATTCATCTAATCTAATTGGGAAATACAGTTTGGTGTCTGTTATTACTTTAATTATTACTGACAATAACTTACTATAGGTGATTTTTATTCCAACTTTCAGATGTTAATTTCTCCTTATGCTAGCTTATAAGATTCATTAGTTTTTAAAATACTCTTAACTTTTCCTAGCCAAATACAGCAAAAACAATCTTGATAAAATTCAGCGTTTTATCTCACATTAGACTAAATGGATACAGAACTATTGGGGTGACCTATACACACACATTTATCTCTATGTATGTTGTATGTATGTGGTGCTCAGAACCAGTATTTTTGAAGCTGATTTCACACTGATAAAACTGCAGGGTGTGCAAGATAAAATTTCATAGTATACCAACAGGAAGTTCCATTGTCCAAATCTGGTTCCTCTGGGGCTTTTGGTATAAAAGCCCCTGTTTTATTTGCTTGTCAGTATTGCTGCTTCCTGTTTTGCATTTATATACATAGGTGCATGAGTTCTGCTGCTAGCTTCATAGTCATCACTGAAACAGGAGCAATGATTTCTGCCTGCACACTCAGCCTTTTGTCTGCTGCTGCCTTTCTGGCTGCTGCTTTAGTGAACCAAGGTGAGAAGTTAAACCTCTCTCTGTCAACCCTCTTTCCCCACAAATAGTTTTAAAAATAGCTATGTATTCTGTTCCAGTTCTGATAACTCTTTTCTTCTGAACTTTGATCCTCACCTGGGAGAAAAGAGCATGTTGTAAGCTCTGGAGAGGTCAAAGGCAAAGGAATTAAATCTAACTTTGTGCTCAGCTCCTGATATATAGAAACTGAAGGCAATTATTTAAATACAGTATTTTCTCAGTTACGACTGACATTTTTCCCCTTGCCTATTTGTATTCACTGGAGTTATGCCTATCGGAACTGGCTTGCAAATTTCAGAAAAATCATTGAATGGCAGATTTTCTCCTTATTACTTTCCACTAAATGTTTTGATATTTCCAGCTCAGATCTAACGGCTCTAAATCAAGTGAAGGTTTCTGCTGTAATACAGTTCAGATTTTAAACATACAGTACAATTCTGAATAGATAAAATAAAATTAAGAACTATTCTTATCATTTTCTTGGCAACTTTTGAACCCATTACTATATTGTGTAATAGTAACCCGTGGCAAATTTTTTCTTCCTTGAAATATGGTACGGGAGAAATCTAAACTTGAATGGAGGTTGATGATAGTTTTTATTTCCTTTTTTGCCCTCTTTTTAGCTGCAGGGTGAATTTCCTTCCACATTTGTTTCTGTAAACATACACGGTCATATAACCCCAACACCTGACTGAATTTAAAATGCTATTAGTTTCCCTACAAGCTTTGTTTCCCTTTTACCTCACCTATTAGCTTGACTTTAAGAACTGGTTTAAAATTAAGAGGGATTCATTTTGTTGTGTTGAATTTAAAGCCTTTCTTTTCTCTAGAATAATGATTCTTGAACAGTTTGAATTCAGGATCCATTTACATGATTAAAATGACTGAGGACCCCCCAAAAGATTTGGTTTATATTGATACTGATTGTATTAGAAATTCAAAATGAGAAATTCAAAATGTAGCTTCTCAGCCCTGGCTATTAGTTTAAACTAAGAAATACTGATTATCCACTGAACTGCATGGAAGAGTATGATTGAGAATTGGATCTTGCCAAAGCTTGCCCAACATTTTAATTTACTAGAAATGGAAGTTATTTTCCTTCCAATTCACTTTTTGCACAATTCTGTCAGGTTGTTTAATAATCCTACCCTCTTAAAAATATTACCAATCTCATAGTTTTTTCTTCCAGCAAAATAAACTATATATTGTATGCAGTTTCTTCTCTCTCTTTTTATCCTCACAACAGTCTGGTGAGAGAAAAAAGTAAAATAATGGCTTGAGTCGTCATCTAGCAATGTAGCTACAATGCAACACTGGCTCCAATTTGTCACCTCCCGGGTTACCCAGCCCTTCAGGGACCCAGTCCAGAGCCAAGTTTTTCTCTTTTGCAAGGCCAAAAGGGGGGTGCAGATCTCACCTTGGGGGTGGCAGGATGTTCTAAACCAGGAGTCTATAACTCCCAGACCGCCGCCTAGTACTGAGCTGTGAGCCATTCAGAACTAGGCTGTGGAAGCAGTGGCTGAGCGGGTGTGTGTATCCCCACTTGTGTGAGCAGCCGGCGGGAGCATGCAGGCATGCTCCATTTGCACAAGCAGCAGGTGGAGCTGTGTGTGCGCACACTTGCTAGCCACTCGCATGGAACCATCCCCTCTCCCCCACCAGTCCACAAAGCCGGAAATGTTGGGGAACTCTGTTCTAAAGGGCAGAGTCCACAGCTCTTCTAGACCCTGCCAGCCAGAATTCATTGACTGACATGGTCTACAGTATACCAATTCTGCTGGTGGGTGGGGTGTGCCAATCCCATTAAGGTGAGACAGTTTCTCAGACAATCTGGAGCCATGCTATGAAGGGCTTTAAACAGTGGTGGGATTCAGCCAGTTCGCACCAGTTCGGCAGAACCAGTAGCTAATTTTTTGTTGCCCAGGTCCAGAATGGACTTCCGGAAGTGGCATCCACACAGAGAACCCGTTGTTCACATATTTGAATCCCACCACTGGCTTTAAAGGTAAGAACGAAGACCTTGAAACTAGCTACCCTTTACAGCTTGATAGCTATAACCATAGACAATAAAGACAATATTACTTTTTCTTTAATTAAATTTAACTATTTTTCAATCTTTATAGGATCCTTCAATAGATTTTGCTTTCTTTCACAAAACTTTGAAACTTCAAATTATGAAACATTCTGGAGAATAAGTAATCCCTGCATGTTTTTAAATACCAGCTTTACAATATACACTGCTTAGCATTAAAAATTAAATTTGCTGAAATTATCTTGGCTTACAAACTAAAGGGAACTCTCTAGAAATTGATGTAACATGAAATTGCTTATTCTACAATGGCAGAACTTAAATATAATGTAGCCTGGCTTTCTAGAAAAAAGATAACCATTTCTCATAGAAATTTCCACTCAGTGCAAGATGTTTTCTTGCCTGAGGCAAAGCTGTCTGAACACTTTTATAAATGCCTTCTTCCATATAAAGAAGTTGCCCAGGCTAGACGCTGAATCTTGGGTAGTAGGCTATGTGCTGAGTGGAAGGGGGACTATAGACAGTAGAGAGGACAGACTTGGTGAAGAGAGAAAAGATCCATTTCCAAAGCAATGAAAAAATAAACATACAATAGCTTAAGCTCATACCAAGTAGAAATTTATAAAAATTCTTTAGGTACCTCCCTCCCTTAATTCATACTTAGATAAGAGGGAGGAGGGAAAACATTCAGATTTTCAAGATTTCTGTAGACATTTTAATATAAGTGGTTTAAGACAAACATGACATCTGTTTTTTTATTGGGTCTACCTTGTAGGGCAGATGGGAGAGAGCAACAGACTAATTTAGATGGCACAGAACAGGTCCATCCTGCAACATTTTGTCTTGCTGCCTGCCCCCAAGAGAGGTGCTCCATGTATGGGACAGCTAGTTTCTAGTCACCAGTATACTGGCAAAAATAAATGCAGTTGATCCATATCCAAACTCAAAAACTTGAATTTCAAGTGGGGTTGTTTCAAATGAAAATGAAAAAAAAAAAGCCAAAAACAATAATGGCAGTAACACAGTTCCATCTGAGAGGAGGTAAGAAAAGAACGATTCTAGAAGGAGGAATAGGTGGGTCAGTGCAATAGCCTACACCAGTGCCTTTGGTTTCAAGTGCAGCATATCTAGTATGCCTGGCTATTTTCACAGCTTTTTTTTGTCTACTTGCCAATGATGTCCTCATTTCCAATAATAATAATAATGATAAACTTGGAAGAGAACTTGGAGGTCATCTAGTCCAACCCCCTGTTCAGGCAGGAAACCCTATACCATTTCTGACAAATGGCTGTCCAGTTTCTTCTTAAAAACTTCCAGTGTTGGAGCATTCACCGCTTCTGGAGGCAGGTGGTTCCACTGGTTAATTGTTCTTACTGTCAGGAAGTTTCTCTTTAGTTCTAGATTGCTTCTCTCTTTGGTTAGTTTCCACCCATTGCTTCTTGTCCTGCCTTCAGGCACTTTGGAAAATAGCTTGACTCCCTCTTCTTGTGGCAGCCCCTGAGATATTGGAACACTGCTATCATGTCACCCCTCGTCCTTCTCTTCATTAAACTAGACATACCCAATTCCAGCAACCGTTCCTTATATGTTTTAGCCCCCAGTCCCCTAATCATCTTTGTTGCTCTTCTCTGTACTCTTTCTAGAGTCTCAACATCTTTTTTACATCGTGGTGACCAAAACTGGATGCAGTATTCCAAGTGTGGCCTTACCAAGGCATTGTAAAGTGGTATTAATACTTCACATGATCTTGATTCTATCCCTCTGTTAATGCAGCCTAGCACTGTGTTGGCTTTTTTGACAGCTGCAGTACACTGCTGGCTCATATTTAAACGATTGTACACTAGGACTCCGAGATCCCTCTCACAGTTACTACTATTGAGCAAGGTACCCCCTATACCAGTGATGGCGAACCTTTTAGAGACCGAGTGCCCAAACTGCAACCAAAAACCCACTTATGCATCGTCGGGTGCCGGGTGGGTATGGCTCATTGGGTGGGCGTGGCTGCGGTGGTAACAGCAGACTGGGTGGGACTAAAAAGTTCAATCAATCAATTCCAACTTTGCAAGATCTTTTTTTTTCCCATGAGAAGTTGAAATTGACTGATTGATTGAACCTTTTTTTGTTGTACATGGTAGCAGAGGCCTAAAGGGAAAAGGTTTTATAAAACCCAGCTGAAGGCCTAGGCCTAGGGCGACGGCACGCGTGCCCACAGAGAAGGCTCTGAGTGCCGCTTCTGGCACCTGTGCCATAGGTTCGCCACCACTGCCCTATACTATACCTGTACATTTGGTTTTTCTTGCCTAAATGTAGAACCTTACTTTTTTCACCATTGAATTTCATTTTGTTAGATAGCGCCCAGTGTTCAAGTCTGTCCAGATCCTCCTGTATCCTAAGCCTGTAAGGAAAGGTAGTGATGAAAATGTGCTGGGTGGAAGAGACTGGTTGGATATCCACCATCAAGCCCCTTAACTGCAGAATACAATCACAGACTTTATTAATCAGTTTGAATGCATAGAATTATGGGCTAGAATGCAGAATCTTAAAAACTGATATAATCCTCCTTTATTATTAACTTCATTAAGTATGATGTCTTTGGAGCTTTTGAACCTTTTTTCACAAAATATTCCCATAACTGTATATTTGATGAACCTCTCATGGTGTCTCCCATCTGCTGATAGTTTGTCTTGAAAGAATCTCTTAAATCCATATTTGAAGAGGAAAGGAAGTAGGGAAGCAAAGGTTCTGGGAAGATGGGCTGGTGGGCCAGCACATGAACCATGCAAAAGAAGAAGGAGGCAAGAGTACACAAGACTTACCATACTTGACTCATGCACCCATTTCACATTTTGTTTCCACTGAACCCCAGAACAACTGAAATCCAGGTTTTAAAAAGTCCTGCTGAATTGCAAACCATCCAGGATGGTTTGGGAGAACTTCTGAGGCAAGGTGTTTTTGCTTTGAAACAAGACATATTTTTGTTTCATGTACATTTTAGATCTGTTTACTTCTGCCTGGGCCAGTTCTGACCATCTAAAAATAAACATATAGCAAAGGGAAAACAGTATGAGAGAACTTATAGGAGGAAGTCATGACAATTCAAGATTCATATTTCTTATTGGATATATTATTTATCAGTTTATCCACTCCTATTATAGAATGGAGAAAGTAGACACAATCTGCTATCCTGGTATGTAATCTCCCAAATATGCAGGCATATTTATGACTCTGATGAAGGAAAATATTTGTAGCTCAGGGTTGAAATGAGGGGTACTCTGAGCTTGGTTGTTTTTTGCAGATGTTTCATTACCCAAACTAGATAACATCATCAGTGATATCACTTAGTTTGGTTAATGAAACGTCTGCAAGAAAACAACCAAGCTCAGACATTGGCAAGGATCCCTCATACTTATGACTAAGGTTTTTCAAATGCATGGGCATACAATGGCGCGCGCGCACGCACGCACGCGCGCACGCGCGCACACACACACACACAGTTTCTAACCAGGTACTGTAACCAACTGGAGAAGGGAATTTGAAATGGACTAAGGAGCTGTCAGGAAGTGTTTTGAATGGAAAGGAGAAAATAAATAAGCTAGTAAGCAAAGATGGTCTTAAGCGGTCCTGGACTGATGAGCAGAAAGACTTCATAACAATAGATCAGTTTGTCTGACCCAAATTTCTGGAAGAACAAGACATGAAAACAGAAGATAATACTTCCGCTAGCACAAGAATTTGCCAGCTCACATCTTATGTCCTTGATTCAAAGAATAGTTTACTATATTTAAAGTAGAAGCCAAATCAAGAGAATGGGCACTAAAGCTGAATGCAACCTGCACTTCTATTGAAAAGAATCGGTCTTTTAAAGAAACAAATGCTTTCTGTACTGGGTACTTTAGGAATATTTTTTTTAAATCAAACTAATTCACAAGAAGATGTTAGCATATTGTCTTTTGATCAATCCTAAGAAATCCCACACACACACACTCACAACCCCTTTTCTTATGTACTGCCCTTTTTGTTAACAGTTGAATCTAAAGCTCCAGGTTTCATTCTGCACAATTGCTTTCTACATTATCTGCATTATTCTCTTAAATTTTATATCCTTAAATTTTTATTTGTTAAATGGAAAGAGGCTTCTTTTTAATTAAAACATGACATTCAAGGAAGGGTCTAGAAACTTTCTGGAATAAATCAACTGTAACTCTTCAAGTATGATCATATTCAGTGGTGGGATTCAGCCGTTTGCACCACTTCATCAGAACCAGTAGCTAATTTTTTGTTGCCCAGGTCCAGAATGGACTTCTGGAAGCGGCATCCACACAGAGAACCGGTTGTTCACATATTTGAATCCCACCACTGATCGTATTCCCTTATACTCCAAGGTATGGAGAGCCACCTCCAGATCATAGATTTCCAGAAAGAGTACAGAGAAGAGCAACAAAGATGATTAGGGGACTGGAGGCTAAAGCATATAAGGAACGGCTGCTGGAATTGGGTATGTCTAGTTCAGGGGTGTCAAACTGACGGCCCACGGACTGGATGCGTCATTGCAAAACCGCGCCCATCCCATTGCCGGCAATGGCAAACAAGCTCTGATACATCATGAGACATTGCGAGTTTGACATGTCTGGTCTAGTTTAACGAAGAGAAGGACGAGGGGGGACATGATAGCAGTGTTCCAATATCTCAGGGGCTGCCACAAAGAAGAGGGAGTCAAGCTATTTTCAAAGGACCTGAAGGCAGGACAAGAAGCAATGGGTGGAAACTAAGCAAGGAGAGAAGCAACCTAGAACTAAGGAGAAACTTCCTGACAGTTAGAACAATTAACCAGTGGAACAACCTGCCTCCAGAAGCGGTGAATGCTCCAACACTGGAAGTTTTTAAGAAGAGACTGGACAGCCATTTGTCCAAAATGGTATAGGGTGTCCTGCCTGAACAGGGGGTTGGACTAGATGACCTCCAAGGTCCCTTCCAACTTTACTACTACTACTACTACTACTACTACTACTACTACTACTACTACTACTACTATTATTATTATTATTATTATTATTATTATTATTATTATTATTATTATTATTATTATTATTATTATTATTATTATGGAATAAATGCAAACTAAATTGAAAATAGAATCTGGCAAATTTCATTGCGGTCTTTTTTTTTTTTTTTTTTACCATTAGATAGCTGTGATTACCCACCTAGGTTTCATTCTGCTGAGTTAATGGATGAATATAAAGAAAAAGATTTCTTTCCTGCTGGATCAACAGTGAAATACAAATGTCGACCAGGTTACATGAGAGCCTCTAGGCTGTATTCTATTACATGTAATAGAAACCAGCAGTGGTCAGATGTTCGGGAGCCCTGTAAACGTAAGTCTTTTTATATTCTTATTAAACAAATTCTGTAAATTTATGTAAGGGAACAGATTTTTCTGCTAAATTCAGATAGAAACTTTGAAACAGTTTTATGCATTTTGTGTTACAATGTAGACTGTTTTTTATTAGGAAAAACATGTGGACATCCAGGAGAACCAGATGGAGGCAGATTGCTTGTAACAGACGATTTTGACTTAGGATCCACTGCAAATTACCAGTGTAATGAAGGGTAAGATTCAGGGAATCCCAACATAATTTCCAGTGGTGTGATTCTTCTTCTTTCTTCCTCCTTTGAACAGTGTAACCTGAAATTGTTTGGTAAGAACTCTTCTGGGTGGAATGGAGGAAATCTCACTTTCCTCACCAGTCATTGGGCAAGGCCTATGCTTCAATGAGAAAGGAGTAGAGATATAAAATTTCTGGAAATTTTGAAGCCATGAGAAAAAACCATTTTCTCCCCTGATTTTTTCCCAGAAAAAAAATATAAATTTTGGAAAAAATTGTGGAATAGGTTTACAAATTGAGTGAAATGCAGTGTATATAAAAGTATTATTCTTGCAATAAAACAGGTACCCAACCCCCTTTCTCTCTAAAGCAGGGGTGTCAAACTCAATTTCATTGAGGGTCGCATCAGCGTTGCGGTTGCCCTTGGGGGGCCGGGTGGGTGTGGCCAGGGTGGGTGTGGCCTACTGGGTGGGCATGGATGGAGTGGGTGTGGCCTACTGAGTGGGCATGGCCAGCTCTACATCATTCACGTCAAGGGTGCCTGTGGGGGCCTGGGCAGGAGTGGGACAGATCTGAGGGTCTCTGGCAGAAGGGGGTGGGACCGGGGCAAGCGCCAAGGCATGGTCCATTTCTTCATTCCTCACAAAGGGTGACACCTCCCCAGCATGCACCCAGGGGGCGGGGCCAACACAGCAGTGGCTGGTTCCTCGCTGTTTCCAGACGGTCTTGTGGAGCTAAGACTGAATGTGTTTCAGCATAGATGGCCACCACAAAATTGTACATTGGCTCCCGCCCGGCCTGGTCCAAGGCCAACGCAGCGGGGGCCGTTCCCTCACTGTTTCCAGGATGGCTTCGGGAGCCACATGAAACCACTTTGCGGGCCGCATCCAGGCCCCGGGCCTTGTATTTGACATGTCTGCTCTAAAGCAACAAAAAAAGCAAGAAACCATCATCATGCAAATTAAACTGGAGCTTTTTCCATGCAGTGCCCCCTAGTGGCACAAATGCATATTTCTCTTGCTTGGGAACCACATTGAGAAGTATAGAGTTACTTGAATTGTATTCCAAGATTTGCTTGTCTTCAGCTAAGACAGGGGTAGGCAACCTTGGCTCTTTTATGACTCGTGGACTTCAGTTCCTGGCTCAGGAATTCTGGCAGTTGAAGTCCACGAGTCATAAAAGAGCCAAGGTTGCCTACCCCTGAGCTAAGAGAACTTGCAATAATTTTAGACTTAACAAAAAGTCTCAGAAATATTTCATTAAGCTCTTCATGTTATGTAGTTTGAATACAATGTCATATATATATTATTTATCATTGGAAAAGAACATAATTCCACACTCCTTTTTTCCCAGTTTTTCCGGAAAAAAAACAGTTTTGAAAAAAAAATGGAAAACCCCCCATTTTTTCCAGTTTTATTTCCAGGCCTTCCCATTTCTGGGAAGGAGCAGTACTGGCCAGGTTGGGAGT